GATGTTGATGAATTATAAAGGATACAAATATACAAGGACAAATAATTGGTTTGGGGATGACAAAGTCCAACTTCGTTTGGATAGGGGAGTGGCAAATGTTGCGTTCTTTCTCTCTTTTCCTGGGGCTATTGTACATCATGTAAACACTTTGGTTGCAGACCATCTCCATGTCTTCATCCATCTTGGGGGCTCAGATTCGATGTGTTTGGGTACGCAGATTTATGTTCGAAGAGATGTGGACTGAAATTGAAGGGTGTAATGAGACAGTTGCTCAAGCTTGAGGAGAGGAACAAGGTGATGTTGTTACTAAGATAAAAGCTTGCCAACAGTCCTTGCTGGGTTGGAATAAATCCAAGGTGGGCCATATTCCCATGCAGATTTGTAGTGTCTAAGGGCAACTAGATGGCTTAAAAAGAAAACCTCAAACAGATGATGTGGTGCAATATCAACGTAGGTTGGCTGGCGAGTTGGATATGCTACTCGCTAGAGAAGAGATGATTTGGAAACAAAGGTCTCGAGTTTCTTGGATTAAATATGGGGATCGGAATACAAATTTTTTTCATGCACATGGTAAACAAAGAGGAAGGAGAAATTTCCTGAAAGGTGTTGGATGATCATAATGTGTGGTATACTTCTATCAAAGGTGTTGGATCTGTTTTTTGTGAGTATTTCAAGAAGCTATTTACAACTAGTGGTGAGAATAATTTTAGTGACTTATTGGCAATAGTGCAACTAAGGTGACTAGAGAACACAATGAAAGACTGAGCCAGCCTTTTACTAAAGCTGAATTACTGAGTATCAGCCAATAAGCCTATGCTCGCTCCTCTATAAATTAATATCAAAAACCTTGGTGAACAGAATGAAGGGTTTCATGCTGGTTATCATCACGGGGTATCAAAGTGGTTTTGTTCCTTCTTGGTTGATTACTGACAACATTATTGTTGCTTTTGAAAGCATTCATGCCATTTGGAGAAGGGAGGGAAGTGCACTAAAAAAAGATGGTGTTGAAGCTTGATATGTCAAAAGCTTATGATAAGGTGGAATGGAATTTTTTGGAATGCATGATGAAGAAATTGGGTTTCAACAATAGATGGGTGGATCTTATTATGGATTGTATATCTACTATATCCTTTTCCGTGAAAGTTAGGGGGTCGGCAACGGGCCTATTCACTCCTACTAGGGGATTAAGACTCGCCCTATCTTTTTCTGATTTGTGTGGAAGGTCTCTCAGCATTGTTGTCTCAGGCTTAAAGGAATAAGCAAATTCGGGGTGTTGCCGTGGACCGAAGGCACCCCCCCTCTTTCTCATTTATTTTTTGCAGATGATAGTTTATTATTTTGCAATGCCCATTTATCTAACTGTTATAAGATGTTGCTTCTTCTCAGAACCTATGAGAGGGCGTCAGGCTAACAAATTAATTTTGGGAAGTCTGCAGCGAGCTTTAGTCCTAAAACATATCTAGTCATGAAGTGTCTTATTTCCATGCTGGGAGTATGTATTGTGGATTGTCATACACGGTATTTAGGGTGCCTACTATTACTGGATGGAGTAAAAATCGATTGTTTAATTATGTGGAGGATATGCTGTGGAACAGCAGGAAAAGAAGTTCTTATTAAAGCAGTGGCTTAGGTGCTCCCAACATACACAATGGGGTTGTTTCAATTGCCAAAAAGCTTATGTCATGGATTATTAGCGATGGTTACGAGATTTTTATAAAGGGTCGTCTATTATATGTAAAGATGACGCTTTTTATAAAAAAAACGTCGTCTATTATATGTAAAGATGACTGTTTTTTTTAAAAAGGGTCATCTATTATGAAGTAAATATGACAGTTTTTTTTAAAAAGGGTCGTCTATTATATGTAAAGATGACCGTTTTTTTTAAAAGGGTCGTCTATTATGAAGTAAAGATGACGGTTTTTTTTAAAAAAGGGTTGTCTATTATATGTAAAGATGATGATTTTTTTTAAAAAAGGGTCGTCTATTGTGAAGTAAAGACGACGGTTTTTTTTTAAAAAGGGTCGTCTATTATATGTAAAGATGACCGTTTTTTTTAAAAGGGTCGTCTATTATGAAGTAAAGATGACGGTTTTTTTTAAAAAAGGGTTGTCTATTATATGTAAAGATGACGCTTTTTTGTAAAAAAGGGTCGTCTATTGTGAAGAAAAGATGACGGTTTTTTTGAAAAAAAGGGTCGTCTATTATATGTAAAGATGACGGTTTTTTTAAAAAAGGGTCATCTATTATATGTAAAGATGACGGTTTTTTTTTTAAAAAGTCGTCTATTGTGAAGTAAAGATGACGGTTTTTTTTTAAAAAGGGTCGTCTTTACAAACAATCCACGACGGTTTTCATACAAAACCGTCATCTTTACATACAATACACGACGGTTTTATTAAAAACCGTCGTCTTTCCTCCTATAATTAACGATCTTTACCTCTAAACAACGAAGATTTTCTTTAAAAACCGTCGTCTTTACAGATAAACAACGACGGTGAAAAGCCGTCGTAGTTTGACACCCAAATAGATGGCGGTCGATTTAACGACGGTTTTCAAAGCATTACAACGACGGTGGATCCCCGTCGTCTATTTCGTTTTTTGTAGTAGTGAAGGATAGGCATTGGCATAGAAGTTGGTCTAAGGAACTCCTCGTTCATATCTTTCCATGAATCCACAATTTGTTTGTTGAAGACATCAATTATCTCTTGCTCGTCTGACACCCCATATTGATTCATGTAACAATAATCAATAGCAGAAGCAACATGCCCTCTCTCTTTCTCAAACTGCAAAAATAGAATCCAAAATCCACGATTGTAAGTCCTTCTATATTTAATACTTTTGGTCCATCTGTCGAAATCCCTTTGCCTTTTTTTGTCAAAACTTAGGAGTAAACGTATCCACGTATGTAGCATATACTTCTCTGACCTCTCACACCTCCGATTTTCTTCTCATAATTCATCTTAAATTGAAGCTCTAATGAAATTTTCTAGGTAAAACTGAAGTTGCAACTTCAAATGAGGATGAAATATGAGAAGGAAACTGGATAATGAGAAGTGAGGTAAAAATATATATGGTGTGAGTAGACATTTTTTGCCCTAAAAATTATAGAATTTGACGGAAGGACCAAAGTGACACTGTATTTAGTGTCTAAGGATTATGGATGACATTCATAGCCATTTAACGAGTTATATGGATGACATATATATGTGTTGAAGCTGAAGAGCCTATGTCATCCATATAACTCGTTAGACATTCATAGGCATTTAACGAGTTATATGAATGTATATATATGTCATCCTATGTCATCCCTGACTTAAACCCTTCATTACCCACCATGAATGTATTAAATTTCCACTCACCTCATTCACTGACTACTATAAATCAACCATCAACTTATTTGGCAAAGGGACCACTACGACATATTTCTTTATCCATTTCATTAAAAATTTAGTTATGTTTTCCTTTGTAATAAGTTGATAGAACTCTAGCTAAGGATAAAAGGGAATGTCCTTTGAGTAAGTTTGTGAATTGTTCTTTAATCCAATATACGGTATGAATTGCTAAATTATTTTATTTTTGGTTTTTCAATATTTTCATATCCTTTTATTTTGATTGATGTTAAGTGCTACTATCTTTTCATGAGTTCAATTATATTTTTCTCATTGTTAAGAACTGACTTAGCATATGCTTTTAAATTAAAAGATTAGATATTAAGCAATTCCATTTTCTAAACAATCATTAATAAAAATAACATTGAAAAATTAAATTAGTTTTAATTTCTTTTCTTTTTTTTGGGTAAATACCACGAGGTGTCCCCACCCGAAGGGTGGGATTAATCCCCGCTCGGGATTCGGCTTGCCCCTGTCCACAAAGTGCTTCCAATGGAGTTCTAATTTCTTTATCTTCCTGTTAAAGTGTCTCAATGATAATTTTAATCGAGTTATAATTTGGATTAAAGGGCATGAAACATATTTTGCTTCAAGAACTGAACTTTGATGCCTTAGCATTTCCATTATTGATAATTCATTTTTAAACTCAATCTGTACAACACTCAAATCAAATTACTTTTCTATTTTGCTTGTCACTTTTATTTTGGTGCTTTTAATTATTTCTTTGTATGCAGACATTTGCCTACCTGCTCCTTGAGGATACGATACTTGGACTTCCAAGAATATTACTACGTGTGACTACTTGCACTTGGGTAGACGCAACAATAGGTATAGCACAAACAAAGCAAAACTCTCCCGTAGAAAGACACATGAAACCTCAAAAGAGTTGATGCGCTTATTCAACACCAAATATCATACCCTAAAGCCAACTCAAGCCCACAACTAAGGCTTGGAAGAAGGCATACCCACAAAATAAAAATAAAATTAAACTGTTGACACTGTAGTGGAGACAGAGTAAACACCATCAAAACTGCTGCAACCTAAGAACCTACAACAACAAACAAAAAACCCCCCCATAAATTCAGAGTAAGAAAGAGAAATGGGTTGAAAGGGAAGAGGAGAAAAGAAGAGGGAGAAGGGGGAGGGGGCAGAGATCACCTCCCCCCTTGTTGCGCTCAAGTGAGGCTAGAGTTTGGGCTTTTTGTTTAGCAAGGCTACCGGTGATTCTGTGATTGCCAAAAATTGCTATAATTCTGTGATTGCCAAAGATTGCTTGAAACAAGCTATTTGACTTTATTTACTTTAACACTCTTCCCTAAGTTACTATGTGTTATCGATGCCTAACTTGCAAGTCTCAAATTGGGACAAACAAGTTGTGGTGAATAGGTCAGCCAACTGATGAGGTGTTGAGATATGAGCAGTTCAAATCATGCCTGCTTGGAGTTTCTGATGTTACTAAATGACAATCAATTTCAATGTACTTTGATCAGTTTATAATAGCTTTTTCTAGAAGCTCTTTATTAGAACTAGTACGTTAAAAATACAATTAAAAATCCAAGTGCATTGTGATTTATGATGCACTGTGAAACAAGAAGCTATTACCCTCCATTTGCTTTTCGAAGCTGCAAATAGTTATGGACCAAGGGATAGTGGATAATACAAATGTTTCTTTATTAAGGTTTAGTTTATGTCTGGCCCGAAACATTTTAATACAGCATAGCAAGCCCAACAACCAACTCTCTCAAAAACTCGTAAATACAATCAACATGACAACATCAATTCTTGGGAATGACCTTATTTTTAAGATTAATTCTAAGGAATGACGCAATTCATAGAGGCACGGGTTCAATAAAAAGTGAAGCAACACTATCTTTCATCACTTTCCCAACATGTGTGTAGCCATCCTCCCCTTTGTAAAGGAGATCAACCACTCTTGTTAGATTCAGAACGCGCATGAGGACCGGCATTGGCACATCAGTTGGTCTAAGGAACTCCTCGTTGATATCCTTCCACGAATCCATAACCTGTTTGTTAAAAATAAGAAGCACCTCTTGCTCTGGCACCCCATATTGCTTCATGTAGCATTCAATACTAGAAGCAACATGCTTTCTCTCTTTCTCAAACTGCAAAAATAAATACATAATACAAATTATCTTACCTAATTCTTATTTGTACCAAGGTAGAATATCTTATTATACGTACCTCGTATCCACTAAGGTCATCCATGAGCCTAAAAATGATATTTGAAGCTCTAAGAATTCTAGGATCATTCAACAACCACTCAAAAGCTTCCTTCGTTACAATATCTCCCATGCCAACCAGAGATGTAATTGAAAGCAAGGTGTTACCAACACAAGCTGTTGCTACACTCATATACTCTTCCATGCTTGGAATGTAGTCTTTGTGCAACCATTGGGCCTCAGCAAAGTAGTTCCGGGCTTGAGCTTTAACCTATGCCATTTGTTAAAAGCATTGAAAAGTAAAGTGAGTTGTGACTGTCGAAAAAATCCCATGGGACAAACCCAAAATAGATTAACAGCAAATAAAGTTGTGCATTTGCATTACGTACAGCTTCTTTTGCATAGTGAACTCGGTATGATCTTCCTTCTTTTACCATCTCCTCCTCAATTTCGTCGTAAACATTCAAGAGGGTATGGTAAAATACTTGCATATAGTCTGGGAGTTCATCCATACAATTGATATCCCACCTGAAAATTGCATAAACCACATTCATCTTAGGCATACACACACAGGTATTAGTTATGCAACAAATAAATCAGTTTCAAATTAATTAGAAAGCAGATAATATATTTTTTCCAATTAACCTTTCAATTGCTCCAGTAAAGATCACGAGTTCTTCGTATGTGCCAAATGCATCGTAGATATCATCCAAAACTGATACCAGGGCAATCACTTTTGTAAGAATTTTTCTTGTTGCCATATAATGCGGTTCGAAATAGACTCCAACTATCCAAAAGTACAGCTCCACGATCCTATCTCTTGCAAAAGGCAGCTTCTTTTCAAAGTCCAGTTCTTTCCACCACCTATAATTAATTCACAATATTAAGTGTATAGGGTGCACTAATTGCAAACTATTTTATGTTCACATGATTCAAAAACTTACCTAGTAATCTCACTGAGCTCCTTCTTGTGTAAAGATTGAACGAGATTGAAATCTAACTTTGCAAGTTTCAATATAGCTTCACTATGTGAAGCATCATCCTGGTAGATTGACATGTAACCCCTGGCACATACCCTCTCCAGACCCTTCCGCAGAGGTCTCTCTAAGGCTTGAGTTATCTGTAAAGCCAGTGGCTTTCGTGCGTCCGTTGTTTCTGCCGACTCAAGGTGAGTGGTGGTGAAAACAAGAGCCTCTTCTAGCATGTCTTCTCCATGCTTCCTTAGATGTGCTGCTTCATAAAAGCTTAGCATCCCAGGAACATCAGCAGTTAAGCTCTCCTTGAAGTTACCATTTTTATCTTTGAACTTGTTGAATATATCTGGTTGATTGTCAGAAAAAATGGGCGCATATATGAGACATAGAATAATATTATTATAGCCGAGAGCCACTCACATCACATTCCACACATAAATTAATTAATTTCTTCATCCCTACCGCAAGAAACATTAAATCCATGTTGTCTTAGTAACCGAAAACCAAGAGCAACAGTGTAGAGATCACCACCATCATAGTCATGATATGTAATGTGCATACGTTGCAAGGCTTCTTCGATTTCTCTTTCAAAAGGGTAAGCCACGCCAAGGCGCTGGACTGCATCAATTAGCTTGACCTGATGTGAAAAATCACCTGCACTTGTTGTGAATACTTCCTTCCTCACTGCTACTTTCAGTTGGTCCACTTGCTGTTGCATATGGTCATAAGTTATCTGCTACAACACAACACAACAAATTAAATTAGCAACTTCGTGTTACGTTACAAGTTTTTGAAAAGAATAAAACGCATATAAATAAATTGAATAACATTACAATGTTTTTTTCATCATAATTGAGGAACCGATCTCCCCAAATGCTTGGGTGATAATTTGCTGTCTGCCGAACAATTTCTGGCTTAGCACTGTGTGCTACTTGAGCTGCTACTGGGAAAGACATGGTTTGCTTTGTACTGAAATATTGCTCATATGATTATGTATATATAGGCAAAATGATCAAGTCCGGTCCTGAGATTTTGAGAGCCCTGTGCGAAATTTAAACAAGAACCTTCACATAATCTAATATGAAAAAAATAAATTTAACGCCTCTTCGAAATTGATTTCTCCATAATTAGAAAATGAAAGCACCTCATTAACTGTTTTCCCTTATAGCTTTCTCTCACAGCAATTTTTAACAATAAGTGATTTTCTCATAGTTTACCAAACGGGCTAGGCTTCCCAAATTGTTTTAAAAATCACTTATCACCCCAAATAAGCAATGCCAAACGGGCACTAGATCAATGAACTTCTGGTTCATAAAATCATAATCTTCAACTTCTGGTTCATTACCATTGTAAAACAAAATTAACTAATAACCCAACATAAATTAAATAAAATTAAATCTAAAAATAATAATAATGAAAATGAGTAAAGTGATATAAACGAGGAATAATTTAAAGAGTTATTTACACTAACACCCCCTAAGGTTTTCAATGTTTTCATAAAACCCCCGGAGATTTTAAAAATTACATGAACACCACCTTAGGTCTTAAATTATTTTCACAAAACTCCTTTCCATTGATTTTTCATCCAAAATTTATGATTTTATATTCAAAATTTCTTCAAATGACAAAGTTAGCCTTTAAGATTAGATTGCACATACATTTGTTGAGGTTAATTTTGTTATTTGCAAAAGAAATTATGTATGAAATCATCACATTTTTGGATGTAGAATCAATGAAAAGGGGTTTTTGTGAAAACAAATTGAAACCTCAGGGGGTGTTCATGTAATTTTTAAAACTTTAGGGGGTTTTGTGAAAACACCAAAAACCTCAGTTGGTGTCAGTGTAAATAACTCTAAAATTAATTAATTAAAAACTATGAAATTCCAAGATAATCCAATATTAATGTGGATTCAATATGTAGAAAGAACTACAAGTTGAAGAATCATATTTCCAAACCATTTCAATGTGCCTCAAAGTATGCTATTTTTCCATGAAATTATAAAATTTGAGTTTTTGATAATTCATCTCATGGATATAGAACTTCAGGTTCTATGAAGTTCAAATGGCAAATAGGCACAAAGAAGTAATGAATTTCAGGTTCACATATAGTATTAAGATCCATGAATAGCTATGAACTTCAGGTTCATATCAATATATATTCAAAACTACAGGTTGAAATACGTAGATCTAATTAAATTGAATTAATAGTTGTGCTTTGAATGTATATGCGCACTAAAAACTTATGGTTCCAGTTCTTGACATATGCAGGCCTCATGAAATTCTGATTTTGATTAATACAAACTCAAGGATTTTCATGTCTTTATGTGCTTTTTAAATTGGTGGAACTTTACGCCATCAATTATTTGGAATAAAAAAACCTTTAGATTTTGGTTCAATCAAAATGACTCCAGGTCCTAATCTAATTATATGATGAGGATCGAGGAACTTCAGGCTTTGATCTTTTGTATAATACAAACTCATCATAACAAGTTGTAATTAATTAAGATCATGTTTAGAAATAAATAAACAAAATAAATAAATAAAACATGGCATTATATTCATGGGTAATAAGAATAAATTTTTTTTTTCCTTAAAAGATCATGATGAAGTCTAATGGTAAGTACAAAGAAATTTCATACCATGTGATGACTTAGTAATAGTAACTCCCTTTGCCCTGACCGAACCCCACCTCTGTACCCTTTTCCGACCAACCTCATCAGATCCAATCGACCTCTTCTCAACCTTCCTCACCGGTCCGATCCCATCAGACCTCCACTACTTGGTCAACCTCGTCGGCTTGAACCACTTTAAAAATAATATAACGAAAAAGAAATCCAAAACCCCCACCGACACTTCCTCCTCACAACCCTCCCTCTCTCCCCTCTCAGCCGCAAGCCCCCCTTCAGTCTCTTCTCTGTTGGCTTTTGATTTTTGATTTGTTTGGTCAAATTTTGATTTGGGGTTATTTGGTATTTCTTGTTTTAATGTTAGATTGTTGATTTGATGATGCATTATGTGAATTGCCAAGCAGAAAAATTAAGTATTGTATTTTGTATACGATTAATATGGCGGTTTTTGCTTAGTTAGTTGTTTCTTGACTAATGACCCCTCTTCCTTCTAAAAACCATCAACCTCACGTAACCAGATCTAAGTCTTTTAGGAGCTGAGGGACATTTTCTATTTTTCAGGGAGTTTGGGGCGGTGGGTTGTGTGAGTTGAGAGAGAGAGGGTCGGGATAGGTGAGTTGAGATTTTTTCTCTAAATCTATATATAAAGCAAAAGGCAGAGAATGGTAAAACATTCAAAATACCAGAAAATGCTCATGGTTAATGCAAACATTAAGAATTGAAATTATTAATTAAATGAGGATAATATGGTAAATTCATACTTTTTCATATTTAAAAAAAATTAAAATTAAAAGAAAAATCAGATAATGGATCCTATTTTTATGGAATACAACTACCCATTATTTTTTTTAATTCTAAAATAAATTTAAATTTTTTTAAAAAAAGCCTCTCCAGGCGGGGAAGCGCATGCAAAGAGGCTAGTGTTTAGAAGTTATTTTACACAGGGGTAAATTTGTCATTAATAATTTTGAATATAAAATGAGTTAGAAAATAAGAGATGAGTGAAAATAGCAGCACTCGATTTAACTAATCAATAATTGCTTATTAGAATTTAAAGGTTTTTTTTTATCTTTTTGTTTCTTTTTATTTTCTGGCAGATTTCAATCATATCCAATCAATCAATCAATCTTATAACACATTAATTATTGCATTAAATTATGCATCGGGCAAGCTTTCGATGTCAAACATTTTCATAACTATTATGTATGTCACCTCACATACACTGATGATTATTGTAGGTGAGCATCTCCAAGGGAGTAAGTGTCACATCATATACGCTCATGAGAGGGAGGGTTATGAGGTGGAAATGTCGTTGGGGATTTTGGAATTTGTTTTTTTCCTTATATTATTTTTAAGACTAAATTGTAGCAATAGTCCCTGGACTAAGGCCAAACTTTACTTTTCGTCTCTTATATTGCTAAATTGTTACGGTGGTACTTTAGTTATGACTCCACTTTCAGAAATCGTCATTTTCGTCATCTCAGTCAGCTTTTCTGTTAAAAATGAGGGCATATTTGTCTTTTCATGTGCTGAATTGAACAGAGACGCCATTGACAATTTTTTTTTTCTTTCCTTTTTTGCTTTCTTTCTTTTTGAGGCTTTTTTATTTATTTCTATTTTGTTGTTTGGTTTTGTTGGAGGATTTGGGGTCTGATGTGTGTGTGGGGGAGAGAAATCAGGTGGGGGAAAACAAATCTGGGTGTGGTTATGTCTATGGACACGTGTCAAGCATTGAGGATGATGGTGATGGTACACCTATGGTTAAAGTGATGAGCAAAAATGCACCCGAGGGGGAAGAACAAATCTAGGCGTGGGGGAGGAGAGATCTGATAATATTGTCCCTAGTCCCATTGATTTTGTTGGGTCAATTAAATCTTGTGAGGAAAATGGGTCCAATTAATCCTCCAGCTCCAGGCATGAAAATGACGACCAGTTTTAAACCAAGGGAATGACGCTTTGATTAATCAAATCTTAAAAAATAATATATGAATTGGGTGTTTTGGGGGTGGGGGGAGGAATCGTGGGGAAGAAGAAATGGGAGGGGGAAGGAATTTCCCCAAAACTCCAGAACGACCATCGTATTGCAGACATTATTTTATTTGATTCAGCGACCCTTCTGGTTTGGAAAATTTGAAGTCTTTGTGGGTTTTGATTGGGATAAGCTTGAATTTTTGTAAGAAAAACATTTCCTTTGCTAGTTGTCCAATTCATTATTCATATGGTTTCTAAAATACGAGGAAAATTATATGTAAAGGATAATTACAATTAATTGAAGGTGGAAAATAATGTATATGCCAAAATATCCTGTCTCCTTGAGAAGCTGTGGACAGAAGACCCACCCATCACTCTTTCATGTATATTGGCAGCGTGCTACTAAATTAATTGGACCATGGCCCGCTAATTAACATTGAAATCGGGGTGGGAAGAAGAAATGGGAGGGGGAAAGAATAAAAAATGGGAGGGGTTAGACATTTCCCTTGGTAAGAATGGGGAAAGAAGAAATTGGAGAGAGAGAGAGAGGAGATTTATTTTTTAATTTTTTTGTGTGAAAACACATTTTTGCCCATGCCAAGTAGTACTTGTCCATGCCATGTTATTATTTTTAACGGAAAAGTTGACTGAGATGACGGAAATGATGATTTCTGAAAGTAGAGGCATAATTAAAATACCACCGTAACAATTTAACAATATGAGGGACGAAAAGTAAAGTTCGGTCTTAATCAAGGGATCATTGCAACAATTTTGCCTATTTTTATAAGATTGATTGACTGGATGTAATGGGAATTTGCCAAAGAACAGAAAAACCAAAAACAAAAAAAGACAAGAAAAAGAAAAAGAACCTGTAATTTCTAATCAACAATTATTGATTGATGTGTTATCAGATTGGTTAAATCGTATATGCAGTGTATGTTTTATAGTATACTACACCACCTTTTTTCACGATCATCAATGTGAAGACCCGTATTTTAAAAAGGATAAAAGAAGATATTTATCATTTGGATAAACTTAGACGATATTATCTTTTTAAGATATTTATCTTTTGGATAAAGTTGGATGATATTATCTTTTTAAGATATTTATCTTTTGGATAAACTTGGATGATCTTATTTTATTTGGATATTTATCTTTTGGATAAACTTGGATGTTCTTATCCTTTTAATATTGAAGTTTATCCTATCCCTATAAACACTATAAATAGGAGCATAACCTTATAGTACATGAGAAATTAGAAAAGAAATTTAGAGAGAGAGAGAGAGAGAGAGAGAGAGAGAGAGAGAGAGAGGGGTGATCTTGGAGGAGATTTGGGGCTTAGCTTGTATTTTCTTAACTTGGAGCAATGCTTTGTAATCGAAGTAGGGATTTCTTGGAGGGCCTTTACGGGGATTGATCTAATTAAATTTCATGAGCACTATATTATGCATGATATTATTATTTGAAAGGCATAATTATATCATGTCATGGAAATTGGCTGAAATTCTTGGGTTGATAAAGAAAGTATGGAAAAGAGGGTAATGGAAATAGTCTTTTGTGTAGTTGAGTCTAACTCTCAGCAGGTACCAGGTCTCAGGGATCCCACAGTGCACATGGTTTTTATTGGGTGATTCGGGACTGACGACAAGGAGTTAGACAAGATGATTAACAAAAGGGGAATTATGGGATGATTGAAATGGCTGTTAGTTCATATAAATGGGCATTCGGGACCAAGTGGTATAAGCATGGTATGGGACGTGCAAGTCTGCTTGTCCAGTTATATGAATTAATGGGATTAGATGAGAGTGTTAGAGCTTTATTTATTAATTGTAAAGTTGTAAGATTTTGGGATTTATTTTTATAAAAGAAGTTTATTTTAAACCCTGTTTCGGCTTTCTTTTTATTTTATTTTACTTTTTATTTTCTC